AACGCCAACAACCCGAAAGGGAATGCTTTTGTGTTTCGAACGCGCCTCAGAAGTCAAACGGCTTTCGAGGGGCGTTTTTCCATTTTTTCCAATGAATTTTGCTGACAGCCCATTGCACCTCAGTTGTCGAACGTTTCAGAAGTCAAACAGTCTTCCAGAATGGATTATGTTCGACAACCGAGGTTCCACTGTATTCAGGGAAAGATGGAATCTGCCAGGACAGTTCTCAAGATGACTTGCACCCTCGCGTCAATTTTTCACACTGTTCTTGCTGATTATACCCCTAGCGATATGTCCCCACCCTTTCTGCTAGACAGAATTCAATTTCCTGTTTGCAAACCCATGAAACCCTCTCGGAACCCCCAGAAAAGACCAGGGCCAATTATGTCCCATACCTGTTGGGCCCATCTCTCGGTCTCCTGCTGCTCCTGCAAAAACTCCTCAGCCAGAGCCACGGCCCGGTCGCAGGTCTCAGGCCCACGTTCCCTGATCCAGTCTTGCATTTCCTGCGGCAGGATGACAAGGAACTGCTCCAAGATCAGCAGGTCCAAGATCTGCTCCTTGGTCTGGCTCTCGGGCCTCAGCCAACGGTGGCAAAGCTCCTGGAGCTGCTGGCACGTTCCTCGTGGCCCCTCGGCGTCCTGGTAACAGAAGTGCCGGAAGCCTTGGCGATGGGCCTCTGTGGCCATGTAGCTGTCCAGCCTCAAAATGGCCACCTTCACCTTCCCATAGTCGCCCTTGTCTTTCGCATCCAAACCAAAATAGGCCTGCTGGGCTTGGCCACTGAGGACGGGCACAAGTCGAGTTACCCACTCCTCTCTAGGCCACTGAGAAGCATCGGCCACTCGCTCAAAGGTGGCCAGGTAGGCCTCAGTGTTGCCCCCCTGGGACAGTGGAGGCAACTGTGGGTTGTCCCGCACTGAGGCCGCCACTGGAGTGGGCACCACCTCCAACACCCGCTGCCATTGGCAATCCCAGCTCTGAGGCGGCTCCTCTGCCAGCTCCTGCTTCACCCTGGGCACAGACGCTCCTCTCGCTAGCTCCTCGGCAGCGCCACAGGGGCTTACGCTGGGGAATTTACCATTTCCTTCTGGTGAAGCGCTCGCTGCTTGGCTCTGAGCCTCCATTTTGACTCGAACCGGCAATGGGAGTGCCAGGTCTGCCATTTCTCCTTGGGGAGCCGCCATTTTGGGAGTGGGCGTTGAAGTCTGGCCTCTTTGCTTCTCAAGGGACTGATGCAGCCGCCGCTTTCTCTTGGTTTCAGTTTCTCACGCTGAGGAGAAAGGCCTCTCAATCTCTTGACTTGGCCTGTGGTTAGAATAATCTGTGGTAAGGCAGTGAAGTCATTGTCCTGTCATGAAAAGTGGAACACTCTTAGCCCAGGACTGCTCATCTGAAGATTGTTCCATTTTTATTTTCACCCCGCCTAATATTCCAGTCCCCAGGTGCACAAGGAAGGGGAGGGGACCACAATCCCTGGCATGGAGATACAGTGATGACTGATAATAACACAAGATCCCTCGGAGAAAGTAAAATACAAGTTGATAACCCTGTTTGCCCTTCCAACAACACTTGCTAGTTATTATATATGGTGGTCGGCCATCTTGGCCTCTGGTGCAGACGCAACCACTGTCCATGCACTGTCACTTGATAAGAGCATTTAAGTGAGATGGAAGCCATATAGAAGAATGCTTTATGCTTTTAAGTGCTTAGTCCAGTGTGGTGTAGTGGCTGGAGTGTCTGACTCGGACTTCGGAGGCCAGAGTTCAAATCCTGTCACTCAGTCATGAAGCTCACTGGGTGGGGTGACCTTAAGCCAGTCAGTGCCTCTCAGCCTAACCCACCTCACAGGGTTGTCGTGGAGACTGAGGAAGGGAAGAACTATGTATGCCACCATGTACAGATCTTTGGAGAAAAAGGTTGGATATAAATGCAATAAATGAAATAAATAATAGCTACTACCAAGTTGCACTTGGTCCTGTGACTCAAGACTGATGAAGTGGGCCTACGGTAACTATTTTATCTTTTGCTTTCAATGCAGCCAAGTGGAAGGGCTGTTTGTTGATTGATTGATTGATTGATTGATTTTGATTATCTATAAACCGATAAACATGCAAAATTCTATAGTGGTAGGGAACAAGAAAATGAAAAAAGAAGTGAAAATGGATAAACACTTCTACAGAAAAGAAAGAAAAGTCAGATCTGACAAAATGTATACAATGTTGGAGAGCCGTTCTGAGAGGAGACGGAATCAGATAAGAACACAAGAAGGGCCTTGCTGGATCAGGCCAATGTCCCATCTAGTTCTGCATCCTGTTCCCACAGTGGCCAACCTGGTGATAGGTCCACCTCCCAGCCCCGTGGGTCAAGGCATTGCTGCCTCACCTTTTTCTAAAGCAGTCAGGGCCCAACCCACACATGCAGGAAGACTGTACCACTTCAATCTTTGGTACAGGAGTGGGGACTCACACTTTCCGCTGTCCCGTTATGTCAGAAACTGCCTACAGTAAAAAAAACCTAGCGCAACAGAGACAGAGTGAGCTAAGCTAAAAAACAACAACAACTAAGATGCTTCGATTTCTTGATCTGCAGGGAGCAGGTGCCCTTGATTCAACGTGCAAGTTTTAAAAAGGGCACGCTCCATCGACAGTCCTTCGTAGTACAGCGAAATCTCGACGGACCATGCCAGCAAATGATCCCACCTTATTCTGCTGTGTGCGTATGTGTGTGCATACTATACTGTCTATATATATGTGTGTGTGCGCGCGCGCGCGCCTATGAGCATATACGGTATATCTATAGGTATACAGTCCAAGCTGGATCTACGAAAAGGGAGTGTACAAACGCGTGTCGGGTCATCTTTCAAGACAGCAAGGAAGAGAGTGTATGCGTGCATTTGCAAGGGCAGGCAGGCAGCCCTAGTCCAGGTGTGATCCCAACCTCCCAACCCCCACCGTCAGCTCCCCGCCCCCCCCCCGATCCAGGGAGCAGAAAACTCTGGAGCAGAAGGGGGACCACGTGGCCCTCGGAGGGAGGAAATGATTCTCTTCCTACCTTTTGCGTCCCTCCTGGCAGCTTCTCTCCACCCACATCTGGAGGCTCGCACTGCGCAGCCTCTCTGGCTTTGCTGCTGCTGCTGCTGTTGCTCTGACAGGGGCGGGGGGCGGGGGCGGCGCGCAAGGGGGACCCAAAGCCCCTTTCAGTTCCTTCCCCACTTTGGGCGGAACGGGAAAGTGCCGTAGCATTTGGCACCCCCTTCTTCGGGTGTCTCGGAGCCTCTCTAGGCTTAGGGCTTTTGCATTTGATTTTTTAACCCTTCGAGTATTTCCGCATACGGCTAATAAGCTTCTGTGCTGAAGTTGGCTTGGCTACGGATGGGCGAACCGTGTCCGTTTTGGGTACTCTCAGTTTCTCGATTTCCGTCCTGAAGTTCAGCTTTCCACATTTCCACATGCAGGTTTGTTTGTTTAAAGTCTTTATGAAAATTCATCAGCATTCTTCGGGTGAAATCTTCCTAATAACGCAAGCATTCCTATGTGCAATTCTGCCTCACCTGCAGGTTTTGGTAAAGCAATATTCCCAAATGGAATCGTGGATTTGGAAGGGACCCCGAGGGTTATCTAGTCCAGCCCCCTGCAATGCAGGGATCTCAGCTAAAGCATCCATGACAGATGGCCATCCAACCTCTGCTTAAAAACCTCCAAGGAAGGAGAGTCCACCATCTCTCGTGGGAGTCTGTTCCACTGTCAAACGGCTCTTACTGTCAGAAAGCTTTTCTGAATGTTTAGTCCAGGCTTCCTCAACCTTGGCCCTCCAGAAGTTTTTGGCCTACAACTCCCATGAACCCTAGATGATAGCAGGGCCAGTGGTCAGGGATGCTGGGAATTGTAGTCTCAAAACATCTGGAGGGTCGAGGTTGAGGAAGCCTGGTTTAGTTGGAATCTCCTTTCTTGTAGCTGAAAGCCATTGGTCCAGAGGAGGAGAAAACAAGCATGCTCCCTCCTCCATGTGACAGCCCTTAGGATATCTGAAGATGACTATCATGTCTGCTCTCAGTCGCCTTTTTCCAGGCTAAACATACCCAACTCTTTCAAGCGCTCCTCATAAGGCTTAGTTTCCAGACCCCTGACCACCTTGGTTGCCCCCCTCTGCGCACCTTCCAGCTTCTCAATATCCTTCTTAAATTGTGGTGCCCAGAATTGGATACAGTATTCCAGATGCGGTCTGACCAAGTCAGAATAGAGTGGTACTACTACTTCACTTGATCTGGACACCACACTTCTGTATAGTGTATACTCCTGGAATGCATTTTTGTACAGTATGTCATTTTCGCAGTTAAATGCATTTTTACTCACAGTTTACCCTAGTTTTTGCATTTCCGTACAGACACTTGGCTGGATAAATGCACTGCAGAGAAGTCCAAATTTTGAAGGATGGCTGTGTTTTGGTTCGTGTATTGTTTTGGAAAGTGCAAATTAGCTTAGTTCCTCTTTAAATGTCAACTGAATATCATTTCTCCCTCGTGGGCTTCTTGTCACCCCAACCCGTGACAATGTGTGCTGGTTGTCCCAAACAACTTTCGCATTCCAGCCCTTTAAGAAATGATACTTGCCAGTAATGGACACACACACACACACAAAATAATAATAATAATAATAAAAATCAATATATCAGTTTTTCCAGACTCCCAGGTGCCTTGAGGCCAAACTAGACATGAGTTTACTATCCACACCTTTAGACCTTGCATGACTAATTTAAAAATAAATATCTGATAAAGGCACGCCTGAGGGAGGATAGAATCCTAGAGAATCGTAGAGTTTGAAGGGACCATGAGGGTCATCTAGTAGTCCAGGAATCGTTTGCCCACCATGGGGCTCGAGAGGAAAGAGTTAATTTCAGGTACCGCCTCTCTGTGGGCGGAGCTATTGCAGGAAGAATGCCGGGGAGATCCATGACGCGGCTGCAGCTTTTCCTCTGTAAGTTGGGACCCTCGCGTGGAAGTGGAAATGGGGGGGGGGGGGCTTTCCTGGGTTAAATATATGTACGGTACTGTAGTGCATGATGGAAGCCAGAACTCCTGGGTTCACCAGCAGTGAATCGCAGATTAGTTCTTCTGACACACTAGACCACTAGTCACAATCTAGCTTAGATCCCACTCCTCCTTCTGTCTTTCGGTGCAAATGCTTATGAATTAATTGCAATCTGCATTTTGTGTTTGCGAGTGTAGAACCAGAGATCGTCGATTATTCCCGATAAAAGATGGATGCGTGTGATTTTTCTTTCTGCCCTTTTTCAAGGGGCTCGTAACCTTAACACGTTTAACCTTCTGCACTGGCCGCTTTTCGCTGCGGAGTTCTGTGAATGTTTACTCGGATACCCTGTGCTGAACGATCTGGAGGAAAATAAAGTGTGAATAGTGGGGGAAGGAAAGCTAAGAACACTCAATAGGAGAAAGTTATAAACCAGCACTCTTTTGATGGCTTTCCCACATTTTGGACACCAGGTGTGTTTGCTGAGTTCTGTTGGGTGCCGGTGAAATCTCTGCATTGGTCTCCTTGTCGTGTAAGAGGGAAGGCCGTTTCTCCTTTTCCATATTACAGAGGATCCATAAGGCTGATCTTTGTGTTTTTATTCTCCTTTGAGTAGCTTCCTGTCTCATTAAATCACAGGTGGGGAACCTTTTTCAGACTGAGGGCCACATTTCCTTGTGCGGGCAGTCTTCTCAGGACCAGAGGCAAAAGGGTGTGGAGCAATGAAAATAAATGGTTCCTTTGTACAACAGGCTTAATAACTTGGCACACACTCACACACCCCTCTCTATCCCGGCCCTGCTCTAGATCCTTAGGGACCAGTTTCCATTTACTTCATGGTTTTCGAGTGGGTTCCAGAATTTACCGTAGCAATTCAGCAGTGTTCCAGTAGATTATATTGATGGATTGTGGGGTGTTGGTTTTTTTGTAGGATTCTTATTTACCAGCCTCAAAATGAGCCATTTTCAAAACTGCATTTCCATATCACAACAGTCATCCCCCCCATTTGTTTCCAAGATTGAACGTCAAGACAGAACCTCTTCCGTCCCATCCAAGCCATGTCTGTAGGCTCCAGTCTGGTGAGGATGAGTGCCCTCTTCCGGCCACGCCTTCTGATGTTACTGGACCACCCGCATCGCGCTGTCCACGCCTCCTGTGCTGCCTTCGCCGGACACAACAAATGGTCCAAGGTCAAAAACATTAAGGGTCCGAAGGATGAAGCTCGGGGCCGTGTCTTCCAGAAGCTTAGCATGTTGATCCGACTGGCTGTAAGAGGTACAGCGGCAGGATTTCTGTTGCTATTCTGTAATGGAAGCGGAGATTCCTAGCACACAGCTAGGCTCCCATGTTTCCGCTTGCTGCGTGGCAAGTGTGCCACCGGTCTCTGGCAAGCATGGGCGAACCCCAGCTTTGCCCACATACTTGGAGCAGCAAATCTGGTCAGTGGCCATCCCCGCAGTTCCTGTTCCCCAGCTCCCAAGATTTATACAGAATGCACTAGACTACATTCCCCTCCATTATGCTGCATTTTCTTATTCTTTTTTGATAATTCTTTTTATTAATTTTCAGTTACAGTCCAATAATAGCCTCATTATAACAATACCAAATTATAATACCATTACTAATACCAATCATTCAAATACCGAATTATATAATTTAAGTGGCCACTAGATTTGATGGTTTGATGATTTTCTTCATTTCTGCATTCCAAAATATTATTTATTTCAATTACATTCCAGTCAAAATAATAATCCCTTATACAACAGCTGCAATATTAATAACTTCTATTCATGTTGGCACATTAAATGATTTATAGAACTACAAGCAAGGCACTCAGACTATAGCCTAGTTCTTCCTGTGTGTGGCAATTATTCTGTCCCTGGTGTTTCTTCCTTACGCTGAATTTTCAATTGTAAACAATTTAGGGCAAAGACCCTCTTGCGTTCCCATCATTCTGCGAAGCGAGACAACGCTTTATGATAAACCATTCGTTTAAGGGTAATCTTCTGTCTTCCTGCGTTGTCTTTGCCAGAAGGTGGACCCAACCCAGAACTGAACACGAATCTTGCCAATATTATTGAGCAGTGCCGCAGCAAGAGCATGCCCAAGGCCTCCATCGAAGCAGCACTCACCCGCGGGGTACGTTTCTGAGCTGTTTGGATTCAGGGCGCAGATGCGGATGCTGCCACCTCTTTTGTGTGAGAGGAGAAAGTTGTCTGTGTGTGTGTGTGTGTGTGTGTGTGTGTCTGTGTCTGGTGGGGTAACAAGGAAATGGTAGTGATTGGAAAGGGGTTGATTGGTCTGTGTCACTCACCGTCCTTTGTGTCCTCAAGCCACCCTTACCCAAAACTTAAATTGGTAGTAAAAGGTAAAGGTAAAGGTACCCCTGCCCGTATGGGCCAGTCTTGCCAGACTCTAGGGTTGTGCGCCCATCTCACTCAAGAGGCCGGGGGCCAGCGCTGTCCGCAGACACTTCCGGGTCACGTGGCCAGTGTGACATCGCTGCTCTGGCAAGCCAGAGCCGCACACGGAAACGCCGTTTACCTTCCCGCTAGTAAGCGGTCCCTATTTATCTACTTGCACCCAGGGGTGCTTTCGAACTGCTAGGTTGGCAGGTGCTGGGACCGAGCGACGGGAGCGAACCCCGCCGCGGGGATTCGAACCGCCGACCTTTCGATCGGCAAGTCCTAGGCGCTGAGGCTTTTACCCACAGCACTACCCGCGTCCCTAAATTGGTAGTAGTAGTGGAAAATCTTTTGATTCTCCACATGGCACTGAACTACAACTCCCATCATCTAGGTGTGGGTGTGTCTGTTCCTCAAGATACAACTTACTGTTCTTTTCAACTTTTCTCTTTTGGTAGGAAAAAATCAAATCGTCCTACCTTCTGTATGGGGTGCGAGGCCCTGGCGGCTGCACCCTACTAATTGAGATGCTGACAGACAATACGAAAAGGTCCTTCAATGAAATCCGGCATCTTCTGAACAAACACGGGTTAGTGTGGGGGTGAAGTGGTCGGCTGGGGGTGGGGACCACATCTGGCTTGCAGTGGTTGAGAGGTCTTACTGGGTTGGAGGAGAGGGTTCTGGATTATTTGCTTCCCGGTGGTCACAGTGCGGCTTTTCTGGATTCCCTTTGGACTGGAGAAGTTCAAGCATTCCCCATCATATGGCGATGGCGGACAGCAGATGTTGGCTGGTCCTTCTCCTCCGTGTTCCCCACCGTCCCAACCTCTTACTTGTTGGTGCTGAACCTCCAACGGCTCTTTGACTCAGGCAGATTCCCCATGCATTTCAGTGTTGCAGCTGCAAACATTCAGCTCCAATGCTTAGAGGGCTGTGGGGCTGGGATATCAGGGGCAGGACAGAGGCGGTGGAGACAACACATCCTTGCTCTCCCCACCTCATCTCTACATGATGGGGAACATGTGAGGAAGATTCTGTGTCCAGGGCAGCTGTCTACCAGCTCCATCTGGTACGCAGGCTGAGACTCTACCTGCCTGCAGACTGTCTTGCCAAAGTGTTGCATGCTCTGGTTATCTCCCGCTTGGACTACTGCAATGCGCTCTACATGGGGCTACCTTTGAAGGTGACCCGGAAACTGCAACTAATTCAGAATGCAGCAGCTAGACTGGTGACTGGGAGTGGCCGTTGAACTACATTGGCTCCCAGTACATTTCCGAGCACAATTCATAGTGTTGGTGCTCACCTTTAAAGCCCTGAACAGCCTCGACCCAGAATACCTGAAGGAGCATCTCCACCCCCATCGTTCAGCCCGGACACTGAGGTCCAGCTTCGAGGGCCTTCCGGCAGTTCCCTCACTGCAAGATGTGAAGCTGCAGGGAACCAGGCAGAGGCCTTCTTGGTAGTGGCACCCACCCTGTGGAACACCCTCCCACCAGATGTCAAGAAAGTAAACAACTACAGAAGACATCTGAAGGCAGCCCTGTTTAGGGAATTTTTAAATGTTTGATGTTTTATTGTGCTTTTAATATTCTGTTGGAAGCCACCCAGAGTGGCTGGGGAAACCATGGGTCTCCTACTGGGTCTCCCATCTGTGACCTTTGGCTCTACTGGCTGGGGCTTATAGGAGCTGGCATTCAGAGTGTGTCAAAATGCCAGCCTTGCCCAACCTGATGCCCTTGAGACATTTTCAACTCCAGTTACCATCTACTGCCAGCCAGCATGACTGCTTTGGCTGGGGCTTATGGGAGTTGTACTCCAAAGTACTTGGAAGCCTCTGGGTTGGGGAAGCCTGCAATAAGGGGTGTTTTGGTTGGGGTTTTTTAGTTTCTCTCTGGGAGGAGAGGAATGTACTCTAGTAAGTTGGAGGTGGGACCATAGGAACCTGATTTCTCTGGGAAGAACATGGTTAAATAATGTGTGTATGATACAGGACTGAGGCCTGCACGTCAGGCATGAGTTCTGTATGCAGCCTCTGAGCAAACCATATTCCCGCACTGCTTCTAGTTTTGAACGTCACTATCACTTAATGTCTGTGCTGGGGGGCGGGCGGATTGCTGCCCCCCACTTTGTGTTCCCTGCAGAGGACAACTTGTCGACGGGGCCCAACATAACTTTGAGAAGAAGGGCGTTGTCACGGTGAGCAGCGAGAACCGGTCCGGCAGCACCATCACCTTGGACCAGGCCCTGGAGCTGGCTATCGAGGCTGGAGCGGAAGATGTCCAAGAGGAGGAAGATGAGAACGAGAAGATGCTTCTGAAGGTGAGAGGCAGGTTTCTCATGCAGCTGCACTACCGTGTTCGAGTCTGCGAAGCGTTTGCAGCTGAATGCCTTTCTTCTTTTGCCCCCTTCTGCCCAGTTCGTTTGCTCTGTGCCAACATTGCGCCAGGTCCGTGAAAAGCTCGACTCGCTGGGCCTCTGTTCTGTCTCTGCCGGCCTCGAGTTCATCCCGACCATCAGCACCCAGTTATCGGACGAGGAGATGGATCAGGCGTCGCGGCTGCTGGAGGCTCTGCGGGACAACCTGGATGTCGTCCGGGTGTACGACAATATTGCATAGATTGATGAGCCTCCCTGGAAAACCTCTCTCGGCATCAGCGGGAGCGGCAGAAGACTGCTATAAGCTGTGGCCTGATGTGCACCATGTCAGAAGCCTTGCTGCAAGGTCAAATTTGAGGTGCCTTTTCTGAGCAGTTAAGTTTGGCAGCCAGGAAGGAGGGTTACTGTGCTGCTGACTTTTCTCTCATAGTTAATGGTACCTTACCTGGAGGCAGGCCCACACTGTGAGCAAAATCTAAGGGGCCCTCGAGCAGCTGTGGATGTCAAGTGAGCACTCTGGAAAGGCTGGATTCTGGCCCTGTTTTCCACACTTCTTCTGCTGGAAAATCCAAGGAGTGTTCACTACAAAGGCCTCCTCCTTGAAGCCGCGACATTCTCTGGAGTTCCAGTACTGAAGCAAGGTCCATGGACTTTTAGTCTTATTGATGACCCAAGAACAGCCAATGAATTGAGGTTATTCATGAGCCAGCAATGGCATAGTTACTGAATGCCTCACTACCTCACCACCTGACTCGATGCCCAAATGATCCAAATGGGATTTTTATGTTTTCTCTGGCATTGTTTGGAGGTGGGTGTGATTGCTCAATAACCCTGCAAGGGCAAAAACCTTTGATAACATTGCCCACTTTGTAAGAGTGGAAGGCTGCAAAGCAACATGAGGCCGAAAGCAGGTGTCATGTTTTTAAGTGTGGTGGAAGCAGTCTGAAAGCTGACATGTATTTTGCCTTGGAAGACATTTGTTGTCAAGAGGCAGAAGATGGTGTGTTCAACAAGCCACAATTCATGTCTTTATCCTGAGTGTTGCCTGACGTTTGGAGAGAGCTAATTAAAGTTTTGTGTTTGCTGTAGCCTTCTGGTTCTGTTGCATAGAGCAGAAGTGGGAATAAGGAGTTTTGACTGGAAATGAGTAAGAGGATTGGCCATTACCCCCCTACTGGAGGCTCCCATAAATACTGGGTCATGCTTGTTTTTTTTATTATGTGTCCAGAGGAAGGATCCCCATAAGAAATAAGGAGAACTAGCCAAGGGAAATTTCTGCCTTGTGCCTGAATGCACTCTCTCTACACTTCCTTCAGTGAATGCTAGAGAGCGAGTGTTTGGGAGTATGTTGGCAGCTAGTACACGTCTTCAAAACTATTTGTGTATGTTGCCGACTGTTCCCTTATTAATGTGTGTAAATGTACTCTCTGCACTTGAGGCTGCTGCCCTTTTGGTATTTGTTTGGTGGCTGTGCATACGAATGTGTGATATTAACAGGTGGATACCTGCATGCCTGCATTTTAAGCATCTCCCTGTGCCTGCATTGGGTGCATGTGAGAGTGTGGATTTCACTGGACGTCTACCAGTGCCTCACTATGTGAAAATTAACTCCTTCGTCTCTTTCCAAGTACCCGTCCTTTCAGTCTCTCCGTGTTTATGTACTGTGGCTTTTACACGCTAGCTCTACGCTATACACTGTCATTTTGTGAAGAACCTACAGAATTCCCAGTACACCTGCAAAACTACAAAAAAATAACCTACTACAAAGAGTGGGAACATATTTCTGCATCAATGTGCTCTGGTTCAGGATGGCAGTGTGTGTTTTTTGGCAGAAGCTGTGTCAGCCATTTTAGTCTGAAACTGGTTTTTGTTATACAGTGGCACCTCGGGTTAAGTACTTAATTCGCTCTGGAGGTCCGTTCTTAACCTGAAACTGTTCTTAACCTGAGGCACCACTTTAGCTAATGGGGCCTCCTGCTGTCGCTGCTGCACGATTTCTGTTCTCATCCTGAAGCAAAGTTCTTAACCTGAGGTACTATTTCTGGGTTAGCGGAGTCTGTAACCTGAAGCGTATGTAACCCGAGGTACCACTGTATATATATATAGTATGTACCATTAAAACAAAGCCCACTGCTTCCTACCCTGAAAAAAGCCAGCCCTCCCAACTATTGCCAAAATCTGACCAAAACTGGGAGATTGTGGAGGCCGAGAAGTCCACAAGAGAGAATCCTTTAATGGAACTGTGTTCTCACATACCTGATCTCAAAGAGTCCTGCAGGCAGGGGCAAAATTTCAAACAGCTTTATTACAAACAGATTTCACTGATGAGTCCTGTACACAAGCCTCTTATCATACAGGCCCAAGAAAGTAGAAGAACCTGTCACAATGCTTTGTTCAGTCGCCATCAGCTCCTCCTCCGATGCAGATGTCTCTTTGTAGAGAGTTAAGCATGCCCACATGATTCTGCCAATACTGGCCTAATTCTGCTCCGGCTTGACCCAAGGAAACCCCCAACCATTAGTGACAGTGATTTTCATTAAAGCAGAAACACCGAAAGAAGAAAATTGACAAGCAATCATTTGAAGTACTTATTTCAATAGTGTGTGTGAATGTAAATACATGGCTACTCCAGGGGAGAGACAGCCAACACATTGCCCTCCAGGTGCTGTTAAGACTGCAATTCCTATCATGCCTGATCATTGGCCATACTAGCTCAGGCTGATGGGAGCTGTAGTCCAACCGCATCTGCAGGGCACCACATTGGCTATCCCTGTTAGGGTGTCTCCATGCAAACTGATGCCCATGAAGAATAAAAGAGACAGCACCAGCTTCAAAGCAGACCCTTCAAAGCAGAACTAGCAGTTTATGACATCTGTGCAGTTGCAGCTACTAGAAAACTCAGGTGGAATAAGGGACGGCTCCGGCCCAATTCAGTCAGTGTCACTCTCTGGGCTTTGGGGGATGGGGGACCCTCCTGAGGGAGCACAGGGCAGAAAAAGTTCTGCATATCCGTTGCCGCTCGGTGGGGAAGGGGTGGCGGTGGGGAAGTCCAGGCCCACAGGCCCAGCCAGGCCTTGGCTTTGGAAAGCCTCATAGTCAGTCCCAGGGTTTCCTGGGGGCAACCCCTCAGGAGGGGGGCCATCCGCTTGGCGGCACACCTCAAAGCGCAGCCAGCGGTACCCGGTGCACTTGCGAGCTCCTGGGCAGCTCTGGATGAGGTGCTGAATGGCCGGGTGGGAGAGGCCAAAGAACTCGGCCCCTGCCGGCTCAAGCTGCGCTGCTCCCACAGCCTCCAGAAGCTGAGCGTGGCAGGCGTCGGGAGTGGAGCCAGCGACCACGCAGCCCGGCTCGTCCTCAGGGGCAATCTCAAAGTGTGGCCCGCCACCGCCGTCCTTGATCTGGCAGGTGTAGAGGCAGCGGTGGACAGGTCTGCGGGTGCTGGCGAAGATCCTGGTGCTGCAGTAACCGACGGGATAGATGGCTGTCTCCGTGTGGAAGCCTGGGCGGTCGGTAACAATTTCCCCCAAGCTGTAGACGGTCAGTGGACCCAACGCAATGGGTAAAACCGGCCGCCCGGAAGGATCCAAGGGAAGCGGCGGAACCAGCCGGCGGACGCTGAGATCGGGGGCCGCCCTGCGCTTGGAGGCCCGGCCGTTCTCTTTGCCTTTGCGTTCCCGGCGGGGCTTGCGGGCAGCCGGCTCATCCGGCGAGGGCTGCGAAGCGGAAGCGACGGCCGGCAGAGGAGGCTCGTCTTCCGCCAGGGCTTGCGCTTGCAACAGGCGAGCGAGCAGGAACCGGCGCTCTTCCCGGACACGCAGGTATTTCGCCTCGAGCCTGGCAATCTCATCGCACAGAGCGGCGTTCTCGTAAACCAGCACTTTGGCCGCACGGCGCAGGCGCCGGAATTTCAGGCGGTAACGCTCGCCTTGGTTTTTGCGTAGGGTTTTCTTCATGGCAAGTCGGGTGGGCAGGATGGAAGGGGGCTCGCTTGAGCAGAGAAAAGCTGGGGAGGAGAAAAGATTCAAGAGGCAATTCAAACATTAACACACACACGCACACAAAAATTTCCAGCTCAATATTATCCCCAGGATCAGAGTGAATAATCATCTTTCATAATGCTGAAAATGTTCAGATACACATTCAGATGAACAGTATTCACCTTGGGTGTACTGCTATCCCTAAATCCAGGCACTAGAATGTTTTTGTACCTTCAGGGGTGCCTGAAATTATGCTCAAAAGTACATAGGATCTTTTTTTCTCTCTAACTGGATCTTCACCTGCACATGATGCTGAATGCTCACTGTGGGTTCTTAGCAGCATCTGCTCAAAGAATCTCCTACTAGGAAATTGCATGAGTTTTCCATTCTGACATTTCCATCCCATTTTGCTACCATTTCCCTCCAGTAGCAGTAAAATATTATGAGATTTTAAAAGGCATGACTTCCTGGCCGGTTTCTTATTTTAGATATTAAAAGCATCAAACAAAGGGCAGGCAGTTCTGTAGCAGTGGGGTAAACTGGAGTAATAGAAAATATTAAACACAACCTCCATAAAACTAGGAGTACTTAGCAAAGCTCCTCTCCGGAATGGAAATGGAATGAGGAAGCCGTAGCCAAAGAATTTAGAGAGCTTTGACAGCAATTGATAAAATTATGTATAGCAAGGATGGGGAACCTCCAGAGGTTGCTGAACTGTAACCATAATCTCTGGCCATTGATCACATTGGCTGAGGGCTGAAGGGAACTAGAGTGCAATATCCGGAGAGCCACAGGTTTCCCCATTCTGATATGTAGTGTGGATATGTGTTTTCCCACATCCCTGTTCCATATTACACCATACCGCCCTGTGATCCTCAGATGAAGGGTGGTAAAAACAAGAACTCTGGGTGACTCAGTGAAATGTACTGGCAGCAGGATCATGACAGATCAGGCGAATGGCCCATCTAGTCTAGCATCATGGAAGGTATTTGTCCTGTACACACACGTCATACATGTAAAGCACATGCAACACACGTTTACAGCTCATGGCTCCCACCCCTAAGAGTCCCCGGAGTTAAGGGTGCTGGGAACTGCAGCTTTGCAAGGGTAAAGCTACAATTCCTGGGGTTTTTTTGAGATGCCACATGCTTTAAACGTATGGTGTGGATCTGTCGTCTAAGTTTTACTCAAGGCAGACCCAGTGAAATTAATGGGCATGACGAAGCTAGGGCCCGTTCATTTCAACAGGCCTACTCCTGGGCAAAACTTAGTTGCCTACCAACCCTGCTCTCACAGCGGCCAGCCAGATGCAAGCCTAAAGCACGACCCGAGTTGCAATTTATGCTTGCAACTTATGCTGAATTTGGGGCGACACATGCAGCGCTTTTGCCAAGGAAGCTGCTTCAAATGATGCAACTGCCTGCAAACAATCGATGCTCAGCCACGGGATTTCCCCCCCCCCCATTCCCCTCTTTCATTTGCAGCCCCCCAGCTTCTCACCCAAACGTTTCTGCTGCTGCTCCCTTTGCTCTCCCGGAAGCTCTGGCGGGGACCGGAAGCTTCCCTGCGCCGCGCGCGCCGCCTGCGTAACCCTTTCCTCCCTGGACAAAAGGACAGCCTGGTTTCCAATCAGGAAGGGCGGGGGGGGGATCGAGGAGGGGTCGCCAACCTTTTGCTTCGGGCGGGGCATCAGCGGGGTAACAATGTCAGAATGTGGTCTGAAAGGTCCTGAGCGATGCTGGTCACAGTGCGAAAAGCCCTCCTTGTTGCGTCCGGCGCACCTCCTGCTCCCTCTGCGGAGTGGGAGCCAGCCCTGCACTGCTGCTGCATCGCTGTCTCTCTAGGCCGGAGAAAAGTCATATCCCTACGCCTGCTGAATAGCACAGGAGCCCCATCAGGAGACAAAATCTGCAACTGGATTCTCGGAAGGGGTTAGGGAGGGAAGCCAGAATTCCGGCTGAGAAGGAAGTGGGGAGTCTTATTTACCAAGGGGGGTGGTACCAGGTTCAAGTCCTGGCATCTCAGGTACTCCTGGGAGAGGCCCCTGCCTGAAACCCTGGAGAGCTCCCGCAATCCGTGTTGACAGTATTGAGCGAGACGGACCAATGGCCTGATTCACTTTTCCATTTTTTCCCTATGAGGTGTGCAACATGCTAACAAACACTGCCTTGTTTCATGTTAAATGTCACCAGAGCTAGGGGGAAATGTACAAATCCACCTCAAAATCCTCTCCTGCAAAATTTCGTGCCAAACATGTTACTATTTTTTCCCCCGACATCCTAACACTGACTTTCAGCGACATCTGATGGTATCTGATATTTGACATCCAATATTAGATAGGTAAAGTGGACCGTGAGACTTCTGAGTGCGTGTAAACCACCTAAGCTAATGCCCTCCAGATAACAAACTAAATATCGATGTATGTAATTTTTATTTCTTAATTATATTTAGTGGTAGTATGGCTGTATTGTTTTTTGTAACATAAAACCATTCAATAAAATTTTTTTTTTTAAAAAAAAAAGCTAATGCCCTCCGGAACATGGTGTGGCAGTAAATTCCGGAATAAAATTTTTAAAAGATTGTTTGGGGTCTCTGCACGTGTTCAAAGACAATTTCGCCTTGACTTGACATGCTCTGGGGGCACTATGTCCTTCCTGTCACTGAAAGCATATTTGGGGTGGCGCCTATTAAGCAATTGACACTCCTTTCCTAATACACAATGTCTTTGGGGTAATTTATTTTCTAACCCTTTCCCCACTGGGGAATGCCAAGTAGGTCTTCCCCCGTTGTCCTCTATTCTCGTGGGACAAATGAAACAATATTTCTGCCCTACAGACATAATCTGATCCAGCCAGGCTGGCTGGCTGACAACGCGTGGGTGAAGAAATGAATTACCCAAGGTCATTTTACTACAACGCGCGCCACGACTCATCCACGGAGCCCTTCGGCTTTTGCCATGGGGTTTGGGGCGGCGAGTGTGATTCCAGCCCTGACAACCGCCCCCCCCCCTCCATCAGCTCTCGTCCCTGCCTGGGGCGAGATGTGGGGGGAGGTCGGAAGGAGATCTCCGGTCTCCACTGGCTGCTCGTGCTCCTGGTGCGCCGGAGAAGGGAAGGGGGGAGCGGAGCCAAGCGGGAGGGCCAGGCGGGCTGGAGGAGGCGGAGCTGGGCCTGGCGGTGGTGCATTGTCTGCCGGGCTTAACCCCTCGCGTGCTGCGAGCCGTGCAGGGGGGCTATGGAGACGGTAAGGGGTGGCAGCGCGGGTGAGGGGCTGGGGAGGAAAGAGGGAGCCTTCGCCGGAAGGCACCCGGCTGCGCACAATACCAAGGGACCTTGGAGAAGGCCAGGCCGTACGCTGCCCCGGGGGCGGGAGAAGGGACAAAGATCCTGGCAAAGGAGGAGGGCTGGCAACGAGGCTCAGGTCTCCAGGCCCGGGGATCGGGAAAGGGGGTCCTCGCGGAAGGCGCGCCCCGAAGCTGCTGCGCTTGTGCGCTCTGGCCGGGGCTGCGCGATGTTGGGTTTATGGAGAGCGCGCTCCCTCTGCCCCGGCATGCGGAGATGAGGGAGCCCAGCTAAAAGCAAGAATTTGGGAGGTACAAGGAGGCTACGGAGACCGAGATTTCTGTAGGGAAGGACCTGCGGTTCCGAGATGCGAAGAGGAAGGTGTAAGGATATGGCCCCGATCCTTCCCAAGCGCGATCCTTTGCAGAGAGAGGGCCGCTCCCTTTAGGCCCCGAGCGGACCTGCGGGATGCGCGTGTCCCTGGGGCATGCGCGTGGTACCGCAAACCTAAGCGGGCTCAGTTTTCCTTCCCAGCTTCGGTTCCGCCACAAGATTCCCCCCGGGGTCACGCCGTACATTCAGAACACGCCAATGCCACCTTGAGAATCCTGGGAACTGTAGTTTGTCCAGGGTGCTGGGGCATGTAGTTCTGCGAGGCCTGCAGCCTTGACAAACCACAGTTCCTATTATTCTTTTTTGGGGGGTGTGGGAGCCCAAAAAAGAGTGATACAAGAGTAGTTTAAAGGTATGGTGCGAGAGTGGCCTTGGTATGACAAAGAGTCTGACTTGGAGACTTGTTTTTTGTAGGTGTGATTTACATTGTTTTATCTTACCCTCTGCATACATGCGTCATTCTCACAACAACCCTGAAGGGCGAGCTCTGATTCGCCTTTATGCCAAGCTACAATTCCCAGGATTCTTTGTGGGAGAAGCCATGACTCTTAACAGTGGTATAAGGCTGCTTTAAAGTTATGGTGTGGGTGCGAAATGCCTGCCTGCTGGCTTGCCCTTCCCTCTCTCATCCCTGTGTCTGTAGGTGTCAGAGAGGGATGCTGCTTCTACAGCCCAATAGCACCAGACCTGCACAGGAGGACCCCTTTACTGTACTACCTTATCTGGCAAAATCTTTATCCAGGCCAGAGCTAGCAGTGTGGGAGCCTCACCCCGCTTTGTCCCCATCTACTGACACTCTCTTCTCTCCCATGCAGATGGAATCGGTACCCTACCCAGGCTTCCCAGGGGATGCTGAAAACAATGGACCCTTTCCTCTGGAGGAGGACGATCCAAGCGTCCCAAAGTACCATCCGCTTTCTTTCTCCTTTTCCTTTCCTTACCTTTATAAACCCAATGAGGGCTGCTCAATTCTATGCCCATTTACCTGGGAGTGAGTGAACTCAGCTGGGTCTTTCTTCTGGGGAAACATGTGCAAGATCAGGCTGTGTGACACTTAACAGTCCTGGGGTTGCATATGCTCTGATGTCCATGTGGCGCTTGAGACTTTGATGTGGCCCTTTTGCAAGAACTCGTGGTGGTGGTTGTAGAACTGCATGCCCAAGGAAGATTGGCCTCTCCCAATTCCCTGGGCACCTCCCCTCATCCCACAAACATGGGGCCACCACCGAAAAGGCTCTGTCATGGGCCACCATCAACCAGGCAGGGTCCTGTGGCGACACCACCACTAAGGCCTCACCTGCCCATTGCAGTGTTTGGGGTGGTTGATCTAGGCATCATTTGTGCAATACAGAAAGGAGAGTCACTTGGGAGAAAATGACAAGTGTTCTTCTGGTCAATGTAGGTATTTGATTTACAGGCTCAGGGAACCCATATTTCAGTGTGAACATCCAGTTTGTGAAAAAACCTAAAGGACTTTTGTGTCACCCCAACCCTTGGATTTTTATTTATTTTTAATGGGCATGTGAGATTTGTGTGAGGAAGGTTCTATAAGGTTGCCCCGTCTAAATGGCTTGTCCTTTAGGTTCGCAGTCGTCAAACCACATTTCCCCTGGATGGAGCATGGGGAGGAGATGCAGCTGCCAGAGCCGGGAGAGAGGCAGGAGCTGACAGTGGTCAACGCAGGTAAGGAGCAATGGCTTGCTTGCACGGAGGGGACAGTGCGGTCTAGCGGTTAGAACTTTGGACTTTGGGGAAACCAAGCTCTACATCCCCACATGGCCAGGACGCTCACAGGGGTGACTTTGGGCTGGTTGCTCTTAGGCCTGCGATGATTTTGTTATATGCTTGATTTTCATAGCATCATAAAGCTGTAGAGTTGGAAGGAACCCTGAGGATTGCCTAGTTCAAAACCCCCTGCAGTGCAGGAATATGCAGCTGTACGCTGGTCTCCCAGAACCAGACGAGGCATGAAAAGGGCGGAGGAGAGGTTGGCTGCATGCAGGCACAGTTTCTGATTGCTAGAAAAGAGACCTGGTGAGGAGGGTACCTAGGAAGCTACGGGGAGGCAGGGATCTTCAGTCTCAGCAACTGCTCCATGGAGACAAAACCCCTCCCACAGGGTGGGAGATGAGTTGCTGTCCCCTGTGGCGGAGATTCATGCTCCAGCACCGGGGGGGGGGGGGGAGGGCAGAGCGCAGGCGGGTGCAGGGCTGGCACACGTTCTGGGGGCGTGGCATGCTGCCTGCGGGGTCGTGGCACCCAGCGTGGGCAGGGGGGCAGCTGCAATGGCACCCCACCAGGATCACACTGCTGGGGGCGGTGCGCTCCCCCCCGCACTCCTCTTCCTCCGCTACTGGCTGTCCCCATTAGACCTGACACTCAGCCAAGTCTGTGAGGGTCGTGTTTTTGCTAATAAAGAATTAACTCCAACTTTGAACTGTGTAACAACAACAACAATTTGTTTATACCCCGCCCAACAACAACAACAACAATTTATTTATACCCCGTCCATCTGACTGGGTTTCCCCAGCCACTCTGGGTGGCTCCCAACAGAGTATTAAAAACACAATAGAACAGCATACATTAAAAACTTCCCTAAACAGGGCTGCCTTCAGGTGTCTTCTAAAAATCAGATTTATTTCCTTGACACCTGAAGGGAGGGCGTTCCACAGGGAGGGCGCCACTACTGAGAAGCCCCCTTTGCCTGGTTCCCTGTAGCCTCACTTGCCTACACACTCCTGTGGCAATAGGTCTGATCCAGCACAGCACTTCTTCACGATCTTCCTTTCTCCCACCAGGTTCTGACACACCAAGTGAGGAAGAGGAGGAAATGGTGGAGGGTGCTGAGGAGCAAGGGGCCTCGACTTGCCTGGAGAGCTGGGACTGGGGCCAAGCAGCGTCAGGAGAGAAGGACGCGGAGGCCTCCGTCACCACAGACCCTCGGCCGTTCCGCTGCTCAGAGTGTGGCAAGGGCTTTGCCCAGAGCTCAAACCTGGTGAAGCACCAGAGGATCCACACCGGGGAGCGCCCGTTCCGGTGCCCCGAATGCGGCCGCGGCTTCAGCTGGAGCTCCTCGCTGGCAGAGCACCTCAAGGCGCACGGCGGGCGCCGCCCCCATGCCTGCGGCGAGTGCGGGAAGCGCTTCGCCCGGGGATCTACGCTCGCGGAGCACCAGCGGGTGCACACGGGGGAGAAGCCTTTCCGGTGCCACCAGTGCGGGGCCCGTTTCTCGCAGAGCTCCACCCTGGCGCACCACTTGCGCACACACTCGGGCGAGCGCCCCCATGCCTGCCCCGACTGCGGGAAGCGGTTTGGGCGCAAGTCCACCCTCGTCACGCACCGGCGGACCCACACCGGCGAAAAGCCCTACCTGTGCAGGGAGTGCGGCCGCTGCTTCGGCGTCAGCTCTGACCTGGCCAAGCACGTGCGCAACCATCGCGCCAACGGCAGTGGCTGGGGGAATGCCGCTGCGGAAGTGCCCTGCCCTACTCCGCTGCCAGCCGCAGATCGGGGCAGGCAGCAAAATGAATATGCTTCGCTTGAGAGCTCAGATGCAGGAGGGCAGCAAAATGACCGTGCAGAGGAGGAGAAGGAGGAAGAGAAAACCTTTATGTGCTCTGAGTGTGGGGAAGGCTTCAGACAGAGTTCTGAGCTGACTCAGCATCAAAAGATCCATCTGAGTGAAGTTGCGCACTGCTGCCATCAGTGTGGAGAAACCTTCCCTGACCAGTCAGAACTAGACGCCCACGTGGCAAGTCACAGTGTGGAAGAGAAGCCACACAAATGCTCTGACTGTTACGCTTGCTTCTCTGAAAACTCTGCCCTCCAGATACATCAGAGACTACACCTTGGAGAGTTATCCCACTTCTGCCACCAAGGAGGAGAGAACTTCCCCGATAGCTCTGACTTGGAGGAGCCCCACAGCACCCGCAATGGGAAGCAGAATCCCTTTGAGTGTCCAGAGTGTGGGGCCCACTTTGCCGAGGCCACTGCTTTGGCTGCACACCAGACAACCCACCTGGATGTGGAATCGTTTCCCTGCCCCCAGTGTGGGAAAACCTTCCTTGATCGTGATGAGCTGGCCCTTCACCAAGTGAGTCATGCTGGCAAAGGAGATGAGGAGGCAGAAGAGAAGCCTTATAAATGTACCATCTGCAGCACTTGCTTCCCGGATAGCAGTGATCTCCTGGCGCATAAAGTGAGCCATGGGGCGGATGGAAGATCCCACTCCTGCCACCAGTGTGGCGAAACGTTTCCTAGTGACTCGGAGCTTGCGATTCACCAGCTGAGCCACACGACAGAGGCTGCCTTAGACAAGCTGTACTCCTGCGCCATGTGCGGCAAGTCCTTTGCGCTGTTTGCCACGCTGGCGGCGCACGAGCGCACCCACATGTCAGACGACGATGCCTACCGCTGCCCGACGTGCGGTGAACGTTTTCCAGACAGCGGCAAGCTGGGGAGGCACCAGCGGCGCCACTTGGGCGAGGAGAGGCCATTCCGGTGCCCGGCGTGCGGCAAGGGCTTTGTGTTGCTTTCGGGGCTGCGGCAGCACCAACGCGACCCTCCGGCCCGGTGTCCTCAGTGCGGCGAGACCTTCGTGTGGCGCTGCCGACTCACTGAGCACTGCCGCAGCTGCCACCCGGCGGAGCGTCCCTACAAATGCCCCGATTGTGGCAAGGGCTTTGCCCAGAGCTCAAAGCTCCTGCGCCACCAGGTGACGCACACTGGTGAGAAGCCGTTCAAGTGCCCCGACTGCGGCAAAATCTTTAGCCAAAGCTCCAACTTGGCGGAGCACCGTCGCACCCACGCCCCAGGCAAGGCGCACTGCTGCGCGATCTGCGGCAAGGCTTTCACCCTGGGCTCCTACCTAGCCAAGCACCAGGCTACGCACACGGGCGCCCGCCCTTTCCGGTGCACCGAGTGCGGCAAGGGCTTCCGGCAGAGCTCCAACCTCATCCAGCACCAGCGGACGCACACCGGCGAGAGGCCCTACGCCTGCGCCTCCTGCGGCAAATCCTTCACCCAAAACTCGCACCTGGTCAAGCACCGGCGAGTTCATACAGCCGAGAGGCCGTACCGCTGCCCCGTCTGCGGCAAGAGCTTCCGGCAGCGCGGCAACCTGGCTGAGCACCAACACCAGCATGCCGGCACCCGCCCGTATGTCTGCGGCGCCTGTGGGAAGTCGTTCCGGTGGAGTTCCGCTTTCTCCAAACACCAGCGTACTCACCTTGCTCCCTGACCCTGTGAGGAAGGGGAGGGGGGAAAGCAGGAAGTCCTTCCCCCATATCTGGCCTTCTCCGAGCACCAACGGACCTTCCTTCCTTGGTCTCTGTTTCCTACATCTAAACAGGAGATCCCTTTCTAAGAATACAGACCAGTGGACTTGGGCTGACCTGATCCTGACCTTTCGTCTTAAACTTTGCCCCTTCAATCTGACCCTGAGTATAGCCTTCTGCATCCTGACTCTGAGGCCTGGCCTTCATGCAAACAGGAAACGGATTTTGAACCTCTAATGGTGCTGACAGAATCACCCTTTGCAAACTGATGGCCCCGCAGCTTCAATTTCCGTCCCCTTCTCTAAAATCTAAAATGGTCTTCATGCTGTTTCTGGGATTTTTCCCAAGGGAGCAAACCTCGTAGATTCTTGTCTCGTTCTCTGAGCATCACTAATCTTTGTCGTCATGCCCTGGTTAATTTTCTAATTTCTAATTTCAGACTTCTGATTCTTATCTTTAAATTTCAGCGATCTGAATTCAGTCCCTGACTGGATTATGTAACACCTGAAACTTTATATTTAGCCTGTGTGAGACTCCCATTTCAAAGCCTGAAATTCTAACCAGCAAGTCCTCAACTTCATCCTTGAGCCAGTTTTGTTTCCCGGATGTTAAGGAGACCCCAACAGAGAAGTGACAGACATTGAAGCTGGCCGTTGTCCTCTGAACTTGAACTCAGGGCTTCAGGCCTTACTTTGTTCCCAGTAGGAGCCTGTCAAATGTACCATGGTCTTCTGTTCTTGGACAACATGAGCTTGTTGAGGGGGGCGGGGACAGTGATAGTCAAAACTATCTTTTGTAAAATTGGGAAAACGTTTGAGAAAGTTTGTTTATTTTTCTGTTACATTTATTCTGCTGTCCCTCCAAGAAACTCAGGGCAGGTCTTTTGGGCGTTAGTTACCGCCCTTTTATCTTCCCTGTTGTCCTGTGAGATGGTTTGGGCTGTTTCCCTCCTCAAAGTTACTAAAAACAGCTTTGTGGCCCAGGTCTCTGGGCGAGTGGGAGCATTTCTGCCCTCATGGAAGCTTTTTTGGAAGAGGACGGCCTGGCCTTTCTGTCCTCGCATCATTGTCCCCTCTATTCTGAGGTCACATTCACACCATACATTTAAAGAACTCTGATACCACTTTAAACAGTCATGGCTTCCCCCAAAGGATTCTGGGAGCTGCAGTTTGTGAAGGGTGCCGAGGGCTGTTTGGAAACCCCTGTACCCTTCAAAGAGCTACAGAACTGAAGAGGGATCAGTCGTTAAATGACATCTGGCGGCCATTTTGTGTGAGCCGCCGGTCCAACTGAGGAAGCAAGATCCGTGCCAGCAATGGGGAACCTGTGGCCTTCCAGATGTTGCTGGAGTCCAGCTCCCCACAGCCCTGGGGGACATAGCTGTCAGGGATGATGGGAGTTGTAGTCCAGCAACATACTGAGGGCCGCAAGTTCCCCATTCCCGGTCTAAACCATTAAGGGCACGAGTGAAAGGAAGGAAGGAAAGTGTAAATATAGCTAGTTTGCATGATGTTTAAACAAACAGGAAAAGCAAATCTCTTCCCACAAAGGGGCAAAATGTCGTCACCTCTTAGTTTCTTTACTTTCTGTTCCTCTCAGGCTGAATGGAACTACTGCATTCGACTCACATCTTGAACAGGGGGTTATGGAGGAAATGAATGAGGCTGATATGTGGCACATTTTCTTTATTGCCTTTAAAAGAAACTGCTGTTTGGGGAGGGACTTGTCTGGGTCAGGATATTGGAGATGGGGTAGGGAAAGAAAATTCTTCCTGGACAAGAGTTTTAAAAGTGTTCTTTGGAAAAAATATATATATAAAGGAATGTATTGTGCTGGGTATCTGCTCCCACGCCCCTTATTAAAAACTAATGGGCGTTAGTCAAAAGGAATCTTTCCCACAAGTGGAACTCCCTTTTAAAGACTCCCCCCCAAATGAAAAAGCCCAAATGAAACCCCTCCGAGATTCATTTATTTTTTTATTAACAGGGTGGAAAGTTTCTTAGAAATGAAGTTAGATGGAAATGCTAATATTTGTCATAGGGATATACCTATCATAAAAGACAGGAGAGAGAGGATATCGGTGACGCCCCATCACAATTCACGTGTTTATTCAGAAATGAGCCCCGCAGTGTTCAATGCAGGTGTGCTAGGTTCCATGCAACATTGTGGGTGCCCAGTGTGCATGTGTGACTAGGAGGTAGTGTCTTGTATGGGTGCCAAAGGGCCAGGCTGTGGCAGAAGTAGGGAGCCTGTGGCCTTCCAGATTTTGTGAGACTACAGTTCCCATCATTGTAGCCATTGGCCATGCTGGCTGGGGCTGATGGGAACTGGAGTACAGCATCATCTGGAAGGCAACAGGTTCTCCACCTCTGGTCTGTGCTAAGGCACAAAATAGCATTTTGAGCTTCTGTGTTTGTAGACAAACTCAAGTCAGACCACTGATCCATTAGAAAGCCAGTATCATCTACCAACAGGAAATGGCAGTGGCTGCTCTGTATGGTCCTTTCCCAGCCCGGCTTCCTTAGGTCCATTTTCAAAGCTGGAGATACCAGGGACCGTTCATCTGCTGAAGCCTCTGCTCCACCCCTGAGCAAAGGGTCTTCTCCCATTTTATGCTTCAGTTAATGGCTGGGTGCTACTTGGCTTGTATTCTCATGGTCTTCCATGATTACAAAAGGCATAGTCATATCCGGATGCCCTTCTGTGATGATTTAAAAAGAAACGATAATAATTCTGCTCCAAGGTGACGAAAATTCCGCAATGACAAAAAGGTGGATTCTGCAACCTGAATAAAATTATGCAAATGTGCATGGTTTATCTTTGTTTTTTGCTTCATTTGTTTTGCTGGTGATGCTTGGAACGGGGCAGGGCAAGGAGGAGCACTGAAATCCGCCCCCGCCCCCCCCTGCCCTGGCTGCTATAAATCTTATGCAGCAACTGTTTGCGCTGCTGAGATTCACCACCCACAAGATTAAATGTATCTTTGGAAACACAAGAAACTTGGTTGTTGGGTGGGTGGGTGGAATGAAAAGGAAGGGAGCTGAATGCTGTGGCCGATCTCATTCTGCACCTTTTTTCTGCTGTTGTGTAATTGCAACATGTGTAATTGCCTGATTATAAGGGTATGTTGTTTTTAGTGAAAACAGATTGGGTTGTAAGCAGGTTTGAACCACAGACCTAACAACAGCTTGCCAGGGATGTAACAGTTAAGATTCTGCTCTACACTGTCAGACATCATCGGATCTCAGCTGGTGGGCTCCTCCCAAACTGGAGAAGTGCAGTCCAGCCACAGGAGAGATGGGCATCCTTCAAATGTGGAGTAAGTAATGCAGCAGAGCCAGCAGTAGTCATGGTTGGGATTGTTACGTCTTCAACAGGTACATGAAGGCATATTCAGTAAAGTGAGCAAGCACTTAACTCAAAAGTTTTTTGGGTTGCTTTTTAAAAAAAACACGTTTAAAATGCAACAAATAGTGTGGATATGGCGCTGTCCAATAATTAATGCAGCAGCTGTTCTGGGGGACGCAAGCAGCAAAGGAAGGCCAGCTCTGTTGCTGCTATAACTCACCTTGCCCACCAGAGGGCAGCTGTTCCTGTTCTCAATGTCAGAACTGATTCTCCATCCAATCACTATTTCTTCAGCAGGGCATCTGCACCTGTTGGATTTATGGCTGGCTGCTATAAAGGTGTTTAAGGCAGAGTACCTCTGTCTATGGGGAAATGATGGACAAGGATAGTGTTTTTGGGGGGAGCACTGCAGACTGCAGGGGACGCGGGTGGTGCTGTGGGTTAAACCAAAGAGCCTAGGACTTGCCGATCAGAAGGTCGGCGGTTCGAATCCCCACGATGGGGTGAGCTCCCGTTGCTCAGTCCCTGCTCCTGCCAAGCTAGCAGTTTGAAAGCATGTCAAAGTGCAAGTAGATAAATAGGTACCGCTCCAGCGGGAAGGGAAACTGTGTTTCCGTGCGCTGCTCTGGTTCACCAGAAGTGGCTTAGTCATGCTGGCCACATGACCCGGAAGCTGTACACCGGTTCCCTCGGCCAATAAAGCGAGATGAGCACTGCAACCCCAGAGTCGGCCACGACTGGGCCTAATGGTCAGGGGTCCCTTTACCTTTACTTCAGACTGGGGTATGTGGGAAGTGTGCTCTGAAGGTGGGCCCATGGATCCAGTCTTGTGTGACAGGCAGATGTTAGCGTGTGTGGGCCTGTTTAGTTGTCATGTGAAACTTTTATGTATGTACATATCATGATGATAAGCAGTTCAGGTGATTGGGTTACTACAATGCACTCTGTGTGGGGCTTCCCTTGCACTCGATCCTGTTTTTAAGCAGAGTTTGGAGGGCCATCTGTCACGGACCCTTTAGTCGAGATTCCAGCATTTCAGGGGGTTGGACTAGATGACCCTCGGAGGTCCCTTCCAATTCTCTGATTCTAAGCTGCACTTTGTGGAGAATGCTGTAGCACCATTGCCAGCAGGTAGTGAGATTGCACATGCCTGCATAGAACGCCTCTGCTCAGAGATCTGCACTGGTTGTATATAAAGCCCTTAACAGCTTGGGACCACTTTACTTGCAGGATCACCTAACCCCATATATGCCCACTCAATTGCTTCAACCTGCACAACTGGCATTGTTACACATGCTGCATAATGCTTGTTCCACTCTTTCCAGTGCCTGCTTAAATATTTCAAAAACCAGGACACCCCAAAAGTTGTTTACAAAAATGTGACTTCCTAAGATTCCGCCTTTTGGAATTTCCCCCCGGACATCCAATTCCTTCTTTGAAATCCTGTTAGTGTCTGGGGAAATCCGGACGTATGGCAGCCCTAGGCTTAAAACATTTTGGTTTAGGCAAGCCTATTCAGACATGTAGAAGTTCCATGCTGCTTTTGATCAATACGTGTTTTAAACTTCTTTTATCAATACTTTTTATATTTTATTATATGTTTTTGGTAAATCACAGTTTTGATGAATAGAAAGAAAGGAAGGTCGTTTGAGCGGTAAACCTGCATTCCCCCACAATCTATCTAAAATGAAATTGACTTTTTAATAGGGTTTGGGGAACAGAAAAATGGCCTGCAGTTCTCGGGCCCCACATTTCACTGACCCTTTAAAATTCAAACCCGAAAACCTGACTCTGAGTCATAATTCTCCTACTTGCTGTAACATACGTCTCTTTCCTGCAGCTGTTATAGATGGGTGGGTGGAAATTCTACAGCTTCAAAGGTTTGGGGGGGGGGACAACTTTGACTTGGAAATCATCCCATGGCAGGGAAATGTTGTGGTTTCTGCTAGGTAAAAGCAAACGAAGTCTCCAAGTATTTTATTTTATGCTGATGGGAAATGAAAGTCAAAACACCCATCTGTACTATGGAAAATGCCAAGATGATGATGAAGATTATTTTAATGGGATTTTGTTCCAAAAGGATTCCCAACCAACCCCAGGAGCAAAGGAGATGAAAGAGTCTGGTGGAACCTTAAAGACTGACAGCTTTGTTGCAACGCAGAAATTGTGTCCGCAGAAGATGAACGCCAGTCTGCAAAGTGGGGGGGGGTGGGGTGGGGGTTCAAAACCAGGAAGCTGCAACATGAAATCACAGGAAGCGATTGGCCAGCCATCTATAGACTGTCCAATTCTTCTCCAGCCCTGTTTTCTCTCCCTCTCCCCCCCTTTAGTATAGCATCAGTTACAGCACCATTTTCTGTTTCACCTCCTTTTCCTTGTGGGAAAATGGCACCAAAACATTAACATCTGGCATGGCGGAAAAGCAAAACAGTCACATAAGAGCAGGTTGTGACCAAGACCTTAGGGATTCAGCAACATCCAGTGTGGGGTGTGTGTGTGTGTGTGTGTGTGTGTGTGTGAGAGAGAGAGAGAGAGAGTGAGAGAGAGAGAGAGAGAGAGAGAGAGAGAGAGAGAAGTTTGTGTATGTGGTGTTTTTTTATTTAAATGGACTGAAAACGTGACTGTTTCGGATGCTTTGTTAGTGATGAAGCAGAACGCAAGCCTTTCCCTGAATAACAGCAGCAAAATGAAATGGCGCAGCAAATTTGTTGGAGGCCCACAAACGGAAACCAGAGATCCTGGGCCCTTGCCCATAACCCAGCAGGCCCAGCTGGTCCCCAAAATTATAGGGCAGCTTGCCCCCTCTTCTGCCCTCCTCCTTGCTGTATCCTGACTCCATAAAGCATGCCTGAAGATGTTAATGCACTGTGAATTTGCCATCTCCTCCATCTTACCAAGGAACAACCCACAGGGACAGATTCCATCTCTTCTGCCCTCCTTCCTTCACTTCCTATAGTTCACAGATGCTGTTTTCAAACATTTGTTCTTAGGGTCTTTTTTGTGGACTGCACTGTCAGCACAATTTATTTATTTTTATGAAGTTGCATGATGGTATGTTTAAATGTAAAAGCATCCCAGCCTGGGATAGTTCAGTCAGTAAAGCATGAGACTGAATCTCAGGTTCCTGCATTGCAAAGGGGTTGGACTAGATGACAGTCAGTGTCCCTTCCAACTCCACAATGATTCTATGCTATTGTTCCCCCTGTTCACAAGCAGACAAATGAGGCTGTGAGGTGCAAGTCAGAGGAGGAATTAAATAGGACCCATTTTCAGCATACTGGAGCATAGCACAGCTGCTAACTGCAAAGCATAACCAAGGAATATACAGGGGCATATACAAATAAATGTACAAATTGGATGATTCTGTGCATAAATATACAAGCAAGATTTTTATAATAAAAAAACACCTGAAGACAAAAATGGGGAAGAACAGCAAGAAACACTTCTCTTAATTCGTTATTACAGTGGTACCTCGGGTTAAGAACTTAATTTGTTCTGGAGGTCCGTTCTTAATTTGAAACTGTTCTTAACCTGAGGTACCACTTTAGCTAATGGGGCCTCCCGCTGCCGCCACACAATTTCTGTTCTCATCCTGAAGCAAAGTTCTTAACCCCAGGTACTATTTCTGGGTTAGCGGAGTCTGTAACCTGAAGCGCCTGTAAGCTGAAGCGCCTGTAACCCGAGGTACCACTGTAATTCATTCTTTAGGGAAACATGCCTCTGAGCATGTAAAAAGTTTGTCTCGATGTGAATAGAGGCAGGAGCACAAATTCACCTTTGCAACACATAGGAAGAACTTGCAGAGCTGAGGCCTTGCAAGGGCAGGGTGTTCACACTTCTCAAGAAACGTACACCTGTTGGTTTTCCACCTGCCGTACAGCGAACAGAGACCCAATGCATAAACAGCAACAACCCGTCAACCCTCGCTTGTGACTCTTGAGATGCAGCCCTGGGATTGTGAAGGGCTTTCCTATGTGCAGTTTCTCTTCCGAAGTCCACGCTGTTTCTGCAATGGATTAACAGTCTGGAGACCTGTAGGGAAAAGAAAAAGAAAGCAGAAGAAGGCCAGGAAGCCTTTGATGTCCCTGTAATCTTTAAGTCAGGGATAGGGAACCTGTGGTCCGGCTGGCTGAGCTGTAAACAGAAATGGAACTCTTGCTGCCTGTTTTTTCCATGGTTGGCGGCAGAGGGAGGGTGGACACTTAGCACATCTCCCAAAAAAACCAGGAAATGCATCACACATACAAAGACAGGAAGAGGAAAGTGATTTACATGAAATTTACATATGCTAATAATCACTGTGTGGGATGCAGGTGGAGCTGTGGGTTAAACCACAGAGCCTATGAGGGGGAACTGGATTACATATAAAGAATTGATTATAAAGGAAGGAGGAAAATGGAAAATGAAACCCTATGAAGAAGTGAAAGAGTATGTGTATGATTGGTTGCATTATTATCAGGTTAACCA